TCTGCCCCGAAGGAGCCGGGGCGGCAGGCGCCGCTTTACTCTACGATTCACGTGTCCATGTTTGCCCATGCATCGCCAAAAGGGGAAACTGAGGCACGGGAGATGTGTCCGCAGCGCCAAGGGCAGCGCAGGGAATGGCAGGAGCGCAGCCCATGGCCCCACAAACCTGCTGTCCCTGGCCCTTGGGCTCCCAGAGTTGCAGCCTGACCCCAGCCCTGGTGACACAGGGGAAACAAGAGTTTCTCCTGCTTCTGATGCAATCCCTGCACCCTGGACATGCTCTSCGCTGTGACGGAGCCAGGGGCTCATAACACACATAATCCCAGGCTTTTCCGGCTCAGCTCCGGGTCACAGAGCCTCCAGTAAGTCCCAGCATAGTCCCCAGCCGAAATCATGGAGTGAGGAGTCTGGCACAAATCCCTGTCTCCCCTTCGGACTGCATGGATGGCGCAGGGCAGGGTTTCTCTTGGCTGCTCTCAGCAGTCCCAGCGCGAGGGGAGCAGCTGTGAGGCTGGCAGAGCCATGCAGTGAGGAAGAGGATGATCGGCCTTTGCAGATGCCACATGCTCCTTAGGMGAGGAATGCAGATCGGCAAGACAGGGGCTCTCTGGCTCCAGGGATAGAGCCCTTCCATATGGAAGAAATGGCCAGGTTGGAGCTGCTCGCACAAAGCCCATGCTCCTGGTGCCACCATCCCTGCTGCAGCCAGCTAACCAGGACGGCCTCCAAAGCGGCACTTCCTCTGAGCACAGAGGTTGTTGTCTGGACTTGGGATTTTAAGGCGAAGGACAACAAGTTCCTCCTGCATCTTGCTGGGAAAAACGTCTCCTTTGGTGCTACTGATGTTTTCTTTGAAACCTCTGAGCAAGGAGCCCTGGAGGATGGAGCGGCGGCTGTGCCGTGGTGGCCGGGAGCTGGGCTGTGACTGGGGACRTGTCTGTGGGTGAGCTCCAGAGCACACCACCTGGGAGCTAAGTCATAGTCTCAGTCCTCACAGGCACCAGATTCCCTGGCCGAGGGGGAATAAGTGGGAAGAGGCCGGGATGTGAGGAGGAAAGGGATGCAGGGAGAGGGGGAGGACCTGAGGGATGCTCCCTGCCCATCGTCGCATTCCCAGACCTGCATCCAGAGCCGCATGAAGGAGGGTGGTTGTCGTGAGGACCCCACAGCTCCCACCGGCGCTACCCCACAGCCCCMAGCTCAGGCTGCTCACAAGTCGCAGAACCAGAGACACCGCCCGCGAGAACGCGGGAGCCGGAGCGGGTGCCGATCCCTGCTCCCTGCAAACGTGCCCAGCTCCGTGCGCCATGTGCAAGCGGGGTAAGCGGAGGGCACGGTGCTTTGCCAGCCCAAGCCCCAACAGAGCACGGCTCCCTGTCACCCCGCGGGCGCTGCTGCAGGGATATTGCTAACCAGGGCTGCGGGTGCTGGCACTGGAGCGGCAGGAATGCGCAGGAGGGAATAGGCAGCAAGTCACAGGCCTGGGGGGCACRGCCGGGGCTCCGCTGCCAGCAGCACCAGGGGCACGGGGCAGACTGCAGGTCCCCATRGGGCTGGACCAAACACGGCGACCCCACTCCTCGCTCCCCTCCAAGGACCAGGACCACGCGGCAAGAAAGGGACACCAATTTACTGGAAGCTGCTGAGAGAAAGAGGATTTCACGAGGCAGCCGCTCATGGAGCTGCCTGCTGCAGGGTGGTGCTGGGGCTGAGCTGCACCTTTGCAGCYGTCCCAAGGCCAAGGCCCTGGGATAAGAAAGGGGTTTAATGGGACTATCTGCCACTAGTGGACGCTGTGTCCTTCTGTCGGCCCTGAGAGAGCCGGGAGTTGGGCTGGTGCAAAGCCTGGCCCATGTATTGCTGTGCAAAGCACAGCTGCACATGCAGCTGCGGGGGCCTGGGTGCCCACGAGGGCACCTGAGCGAAAGCAGGGTGCCCTGACCATTGCTCAGCGCCCTCCTGCACGGGAAGGGGTCCTGCCGGGGGATCTGCAGGGGTCCAGCCCTGGGGCGTGGGGTGCATTTGCAGGACATGCCTGGGCACCCCGCGGGGYCACCGCAGGAGAACAGGGAGCTGAGGGAAGGGATGACACGAGAGAGGATCGCACAGGGATGTTTTGGATGAGCTAGAAGAAGAATGGGAGCCCAGGCCTTTCCCAAATTGGCTGCATCTGGAAACGCTCCTGAATCGGCTGGGAATTAGCTGAATCCTCCCGTGGCCCATTAGGCTGGAGATGGGGGCAACGTTTCCAGGCTGAGAAGAGGACCCCTGACACCTGCGCGTTGGGGCGGGAGCCACAGCCAGCAGGAGCRGGGAGCCGGGCCCTGCGGGGCGCCCCGGCCATGCCCGGGGGGGCCGGGCGGGCGCCGGGGGGGCCGTGGCTCCGCGGGAGGCCGGGCGAGCCCGGCGGTGACTCACGCTGCCGGCCCCGCGGGCGGCGTTGCCTGCGGCGCTCGCAGCCCCACGGCCTGTCCCTACAGGCTCGGCGCCCAGCGGTGCCCGCCGGCGGGTGTTGACCACACTAGGAATCCTCTGGCGCATGAAACCCGTGCCCGGGGTGCTGGGCTAGCCGGAGCGACCGCGCGGCCACCGGGGCTCCTCACTCTGCGAAGCAGCGGCCTTTGCCCGGGGAAGAAGCGGGTCCTTCCCCAGGCCTGCCTGCTGGATGGAGACAGGAACCGTGAAGGAACCGTGGCTCGCTCCAGGGTGCTGTGGATGTAGGTGGGAACACAGCGCAGGGCAGGGATGCTGCGGGGTACACATCACTCGTGTGGGGAAGGGGATGCGGGGCAGGTGGCCCCTCCATCCCTTCAGGTCACCTCGGATCCACGGCTGGATCCACGTCTCCCCAGGACTGCTTCTCCCTTGCTCTAAGGCTGCTGCTCTTCCACCTCCCGCCCACGGCAGCGCTGAGCCGTGCGCAGCAGCTTTAGGGAGAGCTCGTGGTGCAGGCCCAGCTCCGCTTGCCCCTTCCCTCCGCACCCCACATTCCTGCAGGGCCTCCCTCCAGGACAGAGGCAGGGCACTGCAGGTGATGTGACCCACTGGCCACAGCAGTGGGGACCAGCCCCCATACGGGTGCCAGCAGCATGTGGGACAGGTGAGGAGCGTGGTGGGGACGTGCCAGCAGGAACACGTGTGTGGGGCAGCAGATGGGCTCCCATGCCAGCCACACACRGCTCCATGCCTGAGCAGGCCAGGCCACCCCAGGCACCACCCCAGGCAAAGCCCTGCCCAAGCCCTGCTCTAGGCCACCTTCCTTTTCCTTTGGGCTCCTGAAACACCAGGTTTGCCAGTCCCATGTCTTCCTGCTGTCCAGGCTAGATGGGAAAACCAAAGTGGGGARGAACAAGCACTGCATAGTAGGAACTGAGAAGACCCAAGGAAGGGAGAAGAGAGAAACACGTTTTTCAGGGACCATGTGGGCAAGACAGATGAAGTCCCTGCAGTCTGTGCTAAATAAGAGACCTGCAGCCATGAATGACACGTGTGCCGTGGTGCTGAGCATGGTCAGCTGCCCCTCTGCCCCATAGCACCCACATGTCCCCTCACCGCCATCCTCTGGCTTTCTCAAGCATCGGGGCTATAGAAGGAGGGCCTTGGCGTCTTCAGAAACCTGACTGCAAGCTGCTGCAATGAGGATGCTCTTCCTCAGGCTGCAGCATCGTCAGAGAAGCATCATGTCACTCCTCTGATGTCACCTCCAAACCAGAGCTCTTTTTTTTCTCTCTAAATGCAATTACCAGTCAGGATCCCAACCAGCGGTTACCACCATGTGCTGCACAACTGAACTGGTGAGCCATGACACTCACAGACCAGTTGCTTTGTCACCGGYGTGGGGAAAAACCCACTGGAATGGGCAGCCCAAGGGATCTCCTTCCATTGCACATCCAACGCAGCGCAGATGGGACAGGGAGAGAGAAACCTCTTCCTTCCCTGCCCAAGGGCATGTGCCCCCTCCATTGAGCACCCACAGTGCCCCCACTGTCCCTTGCAACCCCAAGAGCATGGATGGAGACACAGCGATGAAGSCATGACACCAAGGTCCCCATGCACAACAAGAAACATGTCTACGGGGCATGGGAGGCCGGTACAACACACAACGTCATCCCATGCACTGCTCAGCAAGAGCAAARCCAGCAGAGCCAGGTGCCACCCAAACTTGGCGTCGGGAGCAGGTAYGGGGCGCGGGCATGTGGGAAGATGCCCATCTCGAGACGGCTCAGAGGGCCAGGCACGGCCTGCGGCTCTCTCCCCCGCACAGRAAGAGCTCCCTGGAAATGAGGGATGAGCTCAGCCGGAGGCAGAAGATCCTGAGTTCTAAGTAACAGGGGGAACCGGCTCGTAAATCAGCCGATCACTCTGCACCGGGCCAGAAGCAGCGCCCTGTCCTAGGACGCCTGAGGTGTCCGCTCGGTGGTGGCCTCACCGCCCGTCGCCTCCTCCGGGCTCTCCTGCTCCAGGTGCTGGGGCTAAGGACATTGCGAGCTGGTCATTCCCCACGGCCGGCGCGCTGCCCAGCGCCTTCAGCCACGCTGCCTGCAGCTGAGTTATTATTCCTAAATTAAAGGTTTCTTTTCTTCTTGCTTTAAGGGAAGAAAAAAACAAGTTTGACCCCTTGCCCTCCTCTGCCAAATCCTTCTAATCTCCGCGAGCCGGCGATGCCAGCGCACACACGGCATGGTCACAGCACCAACGTGACCCGYGCTTGACAGAGAGAAGAGTGGGTGGCCGCGGGGCCCCCAGCACCCTAGCTGTGCTGGGCCCATCTACCCACCCCTGCATCAAGAGCAAAGCAAGATCCCACTTCATCCCTGCGCGCTCTGGCCGAGCACAGGGACATGCTGGCGAGCAGGGCACAAGATTCGGGACCGCAGCATTGCCAGGGGCTTACGGATGGTGCAAGGGCAAAGATAAAGGGGCAGATCAAGAGACAGCCCAAAGATAAGCCAGGGAAAAAACACAAATCGCCAGGAGGCTCCGTGCCCTGAGTCCATCCCGAGGYGAGTGGCGGGGAGCAAGGGGACCTGCCACCCGCGAGCTGCCCTGTCCGCACTCRTGGTACCGAACACACCACACGCTCCTGCTGTCCCATCCTCCGGCAAAATACTAGCGCCAGCCCCTCTCAGAACCACATTAACCCTTCCCTGGCAGCCAACACAGCACCGGGAGAGCCAGGGCAAATTCCCGACCGGTGTAAAGCCGAGTGCAGCRGCACTGATTTCTGCCCCATGCGGCCCCCCTCTCGCCCCATGCCCCTGGAGCGGGAGCTGGYGAAGGGGATGGAGCCGCGGAATAAATCACTGCGGGGCAGGCGGGGGAACGGGAGGGGAAAGGCTTATGGAGAGCTTTATTTTAGGGGTCAAAAGAGTGTGACAATGTGGAGACGAATAGCCTCAGATAATGAATGATAGCCCGGACGGCACGCCGGGGAGCTGGAATCTAAGCACTTAAAACCGGATAAAGACAGGCTGGGTGAAATTCTTAATAGATTTAAATAGTTCATGTTTCGACAGATACCTGGGCTTTCCAAGGCTAGGTCCCAGCTCTGCGCCTGTAATGAATCCCCCACCCCCTCTGTTATCCTGCAAAGCACCGTCTCTGCCTTTGATGAAGGCACCATTACAAACAGGGGTTTTGTCCCCGCCGCGTCCAGGGGCACCGCTGGGGAGGGGACACCATGGGGACCCTCAGGCTTTTAATTAAAGTTGACTTATTGGAGGGGTCTGGTAGCTCTGCTCGCCCTCCCCGCCCCACACACGCGCAAACCAGCCGGGCTGCGGGTTTGGGGTGCAGGGAGGGAGCCCGCAGCTCTCCTTGCGGGACACGGATGCCCTGCACCCCGCGAGGGCTGTGCTGGGCACTGCCCTGGTGCCCAGGTGCGTCTCCCCCAGTCCTCCCAGAGCGGTGGTCCCCAAGTTGTCCCCAACGTGCTGAGCGTCCCTGGACGTGCACGAGCCCTAGCAGTGTAGAGCAAAGTCCCCCAGTGCCAGCTGGACCTACCCCAGTATGGGACAGCAGTCCCCACCACAGCGGTCCCTGCATACGGGAGACCCGGGCACCAAGAGGGAGCAGGGGGTCTGTCCCCACAGCGCAAGGGTCCCTGCGCGCCCTCCTCGCCCCCAGCCCCGCGATGCCCTACTCACCACCAGAGGCCGATGATGTTGGCRGGGCAGAGGAGGATGAAGAAGAGCCCCAGCTGGGTCCGGGACGGGGGCAACATCACGCCGGGGCGGGGGGCAGGTGGGGGCGCCGAGCCCCCTCCTGGCTCCCCGGAGGACAGCGGGGCAGGGGCCGCGGGCC